GACTCATTTGCATGCAACAGTTCTTTGACTTGTTACACTTCACTTATCTCTGGGAGCAGAGGAGAGATCTCTTTGGCAGCATCCTTTCGATGGGCACGATTTCATTAAAATGCTAATTTGATTGCATCCAACACAGAGGAATATCACTGAGGTTAGCCCAGGGCTAATTAATTCTCCAAAGCTGCAGTAAGGCTCTTTTTTAACAGTTGTTGTCTAATTCACGTTTCAGGGGACCTGAGTAATTTCTGCCCCCCCCCCTTTCCCCCAAGCTCTCGCCATACAGCCCCTAGAGGGGCACTATTTATAGGTATGCCTGTTCTGAGAGAATCACACCAGGGCTGCGTTTAATGAGGACCTCCGCAGTTTCAGCGTTCGGCTTCAAAGAGCCTCTTCCACACTCCGTTTACCGGCGCTCTTAGTTTTAAAAAAGTTCGCCCTAGATATCTCCTAGCATTTGGCACAAAGCCCTTCCCATGTTGCATCCGAGCTTTTGTTCTTCGGTTCCCCGGTTTTTATGGCCTGTCCTTCTTTAATGAACCAGAACTTATTCCAGCAGTGGGATCTCTGTGCTGCGACTCCAGATTGGGACATTCTTGGAGATTTGGGGGGGTGGAGCCTGGGGAGGGTGGAGTCTGCATGCAGGGGAGGGAGTTCAGCATGCAAGAGATGCACGAGTCCACCCTCCAAAGCTGCCATTTCCTTCCCTCCTCCTTTCCTTCCTTCCTCCCCATCTATTTCCTTCTTTCTTTCCTTCCCATCTATTTCCTCCCTCCCTCCTTATCTATTTCCTTCCTTCCTCCCCATCTATTTCCTTCTTTCTTTCCTTCCCATCTATTTCCTCCCTCCCTCCTCGTCTATTTCCTTCCTTCCTCCCCATCTATTTCCTTCTTTCTTTCCTTCCTTCCTCCCCATCTATTTCCTTCTTTCCTTCCTCCCCATCTATTTCCTTCCTTCCTCCCCATCTATTTCCTTCTTTCTTTCCTTCCTTCCCATCTATTTCCTTCTTTCTTTCCTTCC